GGCGGGGTTGGAGTGGGTAGGGCGGGGGCCTAAGAGACCCGGGTTAGGGTACGGTGAGTTCCAGGTATTGTTGCCGTCGTAGGATTGCCGCGGTTGTGAGCCGTTTTGACGTCCGCAACCTCGACCCCAATTTCCACCGCCACGGCCTTGTCCTCGTCCATAGCCTCCACGTTGACCGGAGTTGCCTTCCCCATAGCCTATGCCGCCATGCTGTCCTCCATAGCCGCCGGGAGTACCGCCGTGAGTGCCGCCGTGGGAGTTGCCGTCGGCTCGGGTCGTGAGGAGTGCCGTGGTGCCCGAGTCGGAGGGACTCGTCCGTTGTCGATCCAGCAGCATGAGGGCATATCGAACCTGTAGAAACGTGGGCCTGGGATCTTGAAATTGCATGAATGCTGTTTGTGCCTGGAGATCGGCTGGGAGACCACGAAGCATTTGAAGGACGAGTTGGTGTTGGGAGACTGGTGCATCGACATCATCCAACCAGTCGGCAAGATTCTGCAGTTGTTGACAATAAGCTGCCATGGTGGAGTTGCCCTTGACTGTGGTACGAAATTCATGCTCCAATTTCATGGCTCAGGCATGTTTGTTGTCGTGGAACAAGTTGTGGATGACTTTCCAGAGAGTAGAGGCAGTATAAACAGAGGAGATGACCAGATCTGATACCTCATCGGTGATGGTGGAGAGGATCCAACCCTAAAGGAGAGCGTCGAGTTGGAACCATTCGTCGTCATCATCAGAGAGGGGGACGACGGAGTCATCGATGTAGCCCTTGAGGTTGAACCGCCAAACCAGGAGAAGGAAGAGTTGGCTCCACTTTTTGTAATTAGGTTGGGAGAGACTGAGGTGAACGGGGACATGAAGTTTCAAATTAGAGACTGTTGTGAATGCAAGATGAGGAGGTTTGGAGGAGATATTTTGGGAAGTGACCTCGCTGTTTTCGGCCATGGTGAGAGGGAGAAGATGACCGCCGAGGGGGGGGGTGTCGCCGGTGAAGAGAGCCGCCGAAGAGTGGCGCTACCGAGAGTGATGGCGAGAGAGAGGGCCGAACGAGAGAGAGGGGGTAGGTTTAGGGTTTTTTATTTTTAGGCTCTGATACCATGTAGAAAGGTTAATTTCATTGATTGAATATGTGGGAGTACATGTCTATATATACACATGGATTCCTAATCCTATACAAGGTAGGAGACAATAATAGGAAACAATATATTTACATTAAATATAGAATATATATTTAACATGCTCCCGGCTACGTCCGATGAGGAGGAGGTCTGATACCCAGACTGGACTTAAACTCGAGGAAGAGTAGTGAAGGTAGTCCTTTGGTGAAGATGTCAGCATACTGTGAAGAAGATGGCACGTGAAGGACTCGGATGTGGCCGAGTGCTACATATATATATGTAATATTTTAAAAAAAATTGGGCCCCAAAATTTTTTGGGCTCTTTTAGCTCCAACGGATTTATTTTTCTAAACCCCATAAAATACTTCATCCACCTTCATTCAATACACAATTCTAACACTCCATTCATTCCTTCACTTACATTCAACTCTTTCTTCAATCTTCTTCATCAAAATATCATCTTGAGAGTTAGAAATATTTTTGTTGAGTGTAAAAGATATTGTCAACTATAGAGCTTTAACTTTAAACACTACTTGCTCAATTATCTGAGCTTTCATTCTTGTGTTGTAAAACTCAATATTGTTTGAGTTTGGTTGTTGCTAAGACTTGTGTGATTCAAGTCTTGTTGTGAGAAGTTAAGACTTGTGTGATTCAAGTCTTGATGTAAGAAGTTGAGGCTTGTGTGACTCAAGCTCTCAAGTTATAACCGGTATTTCAAGCACCTTTTGAAGTTTGAAGTATAGTAGGACCTTTGAGAGAGTCTCTCAGAGGACTAGACTAGCCACGAGGTGGTGAACCAGTATATATCGTGGTGTTCTTCTTTCCCTTTACTCCTTACATATTTCTTGCAACTTTTCATTTCGTTTATCACACACGCGAAAAATGCTCATTCTAGAAAAAACCTTTATTCACCCCACTTTAGAGTTGCACGTTTTGTCTAACAAATTATATGTAGATGTCTAATAACAATTATAACCTCACTCTTCGCTCAATCCTCGACAAAGATAAGTTGACTGGCTCTAACTTCTTAGACTGCAAAGAAACTTCGTTATCGTTCTTTGACTTGAGAAGAAAGAGTGCGTGCTCGAACGAGCCATTTTACCTGCCCTGGCCGCCAATGCTCCTAGAGCAACCAAAGATGTTTACAAGAAGCATGTTGTTGATGACAATGAGGTAGCATGTCTCATTTTGGCTACGATGACTTCTGACCTTCAGAAACATCACGAGAGTATGAAGGTGTACGATATGATCATACACCTAAGACAGCTCTACTAAGGACAAACTAGGCATGAGAGATTTCAAATCTCTAAAGCTCTCTTTAGCTGCAAGTTGTCTATTGGAAACCTCGTTGGTCCGCATGTTCTCAAAATGATTGGTTATGTCCAAACTCTTGAGAAATTGGGTTTTGATTTAAGGACTGAATGAACTTGCAACCGATCTGATCTGCAATCGTTTCCAGAGTTGTACAAATAGGTTGTCGTTAATTACGAAATGCATGAACTTGATAAGCCACTGCCTGTTTTTTTGAAAATGCTACAAACTGCTGAAGAGAGCTTGATGAAAGGGAAGGGAAATTCTATCCTTCTAGTTCAAGGAAGAAAAGGCAAGAACAAGTTCAAGAAGGCAAAGAAGAATGGATCTAAAGGCAAGGGTAACACCGAGCCAACGTCCAATTATTCTAAGCTAAAGCCTAAAGGTAGAGTAGCCAAAGATTTCATTTGTCATCACTTTGGTGAAGTTGGCCACTGGAAGAGGAATTGCAAGCAGTATTTGGCAACCAAGAAAAAGGGTGAAGCTTCTGCTTCAGGTACAATTGTTGTAAAAACTTAAACTAATCTACAATCTCTTCAAAAGTATTTGATACTTAAAATATTGCAAATCGTTGCAGGAACTGAAGAGAAGTAGGAGTGTTGATCTTGAAGATGCAAGGGTTGCAACTTAATGGCGCTTTAGTTTAAGTTTAGTATTTGATCAGTTTTCAATTTCGAATTGATGTTTACTTATTGTTCTAAGTACTTTGGTTATTTCAATAAAGGACAAATTGTTGCTCCATTTATAGAAGTATTTCATATGATTAAATATTTTGTCTCACAAGCATACCGTAATACAACAATCATATCAAGGCTATAAAGTACAATTAATGATTAGTTAATAAGTTTATCAAAAAATTATGAATCAAGTGATAAACAACTCATTAGAGATATAAGGATATCTTTATAAACTTTATATCTAAGTACCCTTTTTCTTTAAATTTTCGAAATTAAAACTTACTATTAAGATTATTAGACACACCATAAAAATCAAGTAATATTAATGTCAAAGTTACATAATAGGAAAGCAAAAGGTGATATGATCACGAAATTGACGTTCCTCAAACATTATCTAGATAACATGACTAAGATAGTTAGTCTTAAGAATGATTCCAAGATATATCTGTGTGTGTGTGCGCGTGCGCGTGTGTGTATGAACCAAAATGCTCAACAATGATTCCAATATTTCTATTGTTGTTTAAAATCATGTACAAACCTATATTTTTTGGGGTGGACTCAAGAATTAAGAGCACCAATACAAGCTTTTGGCCTTTTCTTCTCTACGATCATGCGATGACTAGAACGAATAATGATGAGCTTGAATAATTTTTCAGAATTAATGACATTCTTGGAACCAGGCCGTCAAATACAAATTTAATGATGAGTTTAAAGAATTTTTCATAAAATTCTAATTTTCTTGTGTCGTGTGCCAACGTTTGTTATTAAATAATTATTTAATCAATCAATTCTTATAGCTTAAGTTTCGGGGCGCTACACATAAAATTCTTTTTTTTCATCTAAAAAAGTTACCATTTTTTTTAAAGTAAAAAACTATGGCTAAATTTTTTTATCTCCTATTATCAATTCCAATAATATCTTTTTTTATTTTAATACTTCTTTTAAATTCTTAAAAATTGTGAAGACGTGAATATGTTATACTACCTCTGTCTCAGAATATTTGTCCACTTTCATTTTTACACACCATCCAATAAACTTCTTTAATCTATTTTATCTTGTAATTTGTATATTAAAAAATTATAGAAATTTTATATTAATAATCTATATGTTAAGACAAATCAAACAAGATCACACATGACTATATTTAGGTTTAGATATTGAGAGAATTTGATGAGTCAAAGTGCAAAGATGAACAGTTCCAAAAGTCAAAACTGGACGAATACTCCAGGACGGAGGGAGTATATACTAATAAATTTAATGAAATGAGTGTTACGATTTCTTTAATTACTTTCACCACATTTGAATGAAACGAGACCATATACATACTAGGGCAATGATGGAGGTATACCAACATGGGGTACCCCATATGTATATCAAGCCAACACAGACACACATAAACACAAAATGTCTGTGCAGCACAGACATTTTGTGTCTGTATGTGCCTGTGTTGTACCAACATGGGGTACCCCATATGTATACCAAGCCAACACAGACACACATAAACACAAAATGTCTGTGCAGCACAGACATTTTGTGACATTTTGTGTCTGTATGTGTCTGTGTTGGTTTGGTTGGGTAACCTATGGTGTAACCCTAGGTTAATTCTACATACTAACATACATAGCTTTTTAATTGGCACTACTACGTACTCCGTATTTAGTAAGGAAAATACATGCTCGGTAAATCAAGAATTTAACAGAAAAAGTAACAGCACAGCGCACCAGTCTGAAAATTGCGCGAGTCAAAGAGAACAATGGTTCTGTTCTACTACCTCAAGTCTGACTCTCTCAGTTTCAGACCGGCCCATTTCTCTGCCGTGCCCGACCTGCCGGAAAGCCTAATATCTCTCTTCTTGAATGCGTCAGGGCGGCAAACATGTACCAATTCTATCAGATCAGGTATTGCCCTTGACCTTTCTTTGGATCATGATTATGCCCAAATTTTGAAAAGAAAAAAAATAGATAAACCCAGTGCTTAGAAGAGCTGGTTTTAACTGGTTCTCTTGCTTATATTTCAATCTGATTTTGCAGGAATAAATTCCAGTCTTAAGGGGCACAGGTCTGCTTAAAACGGGTTGGAATTGAAGTTCTCTTAAAATTAGGTTTCTCAGAAACCCTTGCGAAAATTCTAAGGTAATTTATGGTGTGGGGCGCTGTGGAGATATCCCTCTGGTTTGCGTGTTACATTGAAAAACAAAGCACCTCAAGTTTGTCAAACCCATAGTAGAAAAGGGTTATCATTTGACCTTGTTGCTGTGTCATGATGCGGAAAATAAAACTTCCTCTTTTTTGTCTTTGTTCATTTTATAGGTCTTTAAATTTGCAAAAGATTGGTGCTTGGAATTGAATCAACACATGCTAGTTTTTGCAGTGGAAATGTTGGTTTTTCTTCTTTCCTTCTTTCCTTACCAGAGTTCCATATGGATGTGAGGAATTATCTGTTTTTTTATACCCGTACTATGTATCCAGTTTCAGAAAAGAGTATGCAGGCATCAAGGCTTCTTTCATGCCTAATAGCCATATCTTTCTTTCTTTTCATCATCTCCTATTTTTCCCTCCTCCACTTTGATACCAATTCATTCATACCAAGATCGGTTCTCCTTTTAAATCTCACTGACAATAGTACTTCTGATTATCGGAATTCAAGCAATACCGGTGGCGAAACTGGGAAGGCTTTGTTTCCTTCTTCCGGTAGCGACTGGGGTACTAAAACACCAAACCAAAAGTGTGAAGGGGGGAATCAGGGTCATCTTAGAGTTTATATGTATGACCTGCCCCTGGAATTTCACTTTGGGCTGTTAGGTTGGAAGGGAAGTGGGAATGAAATTTGGCCTGGTGTTGATGATCCAAGTAAAATACCACGATATCCTGGTGGCCTGAACTTACAGCACAGTATAGAGTATTGGCTCACGCTTGACCTCTTATCCTCAAATATCCCCACTGTGTTTAGGCCATGCACAGCTGTGAGAGTGCAAAATTCAAGTGAAGCAGATGTTGTATTCGTGCCATTTTTTGCTTCTGTGAGTTACAATCGGCATTCCAAGATTCAAGACAATGGTGGGATTAGCAGGGACAGACTGCTGCAGCAAAAATTGGTTGAGTTTTTGAAAAGTAGAAATGAGTGGAAGCGATTTGGTGGGAGGGATCATCTGGTTGTGGCTCACCATCCCAATAGCATGTTGGTTGCTAGGAAGAGGCTGGGTTCTGCCATTTTTATTCTTGCGGATTTCGGAAGATATCCCGCTGAGATAGCAAATATTGGGAAGGATGTAATTGCTCCTTACAAACATATGGTGAAGACTATAGACGCTCGTAATTCGCACTCGTTTAAACAGCGTCCTATCTTGGTCTTCTTTCAAGGGGAAATATATAGAAAAGATGTGAGTTTCTTAAGCTCTCCTTTTCTTCCTTGAATACATTTTTGATGTGGTATCTACATTTTTTATGTGTTTACAACAAAGCATATTTCATAGTTAGATATTGTTTATGCCTGAACTGATTTACTGTGATGGGTTCAACCAAACCATCCCCTGACTGAGTGAGAGTTTTTTGGGCCTAGGCTGGACCCATTAATCATCCTCGAATTATTGACCATTTATGTAAACTATGCACACAACTACTTTTTCTTGAATTTACCCTTATTATTCTATCTAATTTGCCTTTTTTTCAATAGAAATATTAAGGACAGCTGTTTAAGAAGGCATTTTCCACTAAGCACAAAAGGTTTTAATTAATTTATCATCACAATACATTTTCTTAAATATGAGTGATGTCTTCAACCTAAAAAGAGAAACAAGAATGGAGGGAGTTTGTTACTACTGTCAGAAGCTAGAGATGTGAAGTTTCTTCCTATTCTTAGTCTGGCAATATCAATTCCAATTCTGTAATTGACGTAAAAGAAACAAATATCTCAAGTCACGGTTGTGTCATCATAAATTCTCAGAGGAAATAACCTATTTAGAATTTTCACCTCATTATTCGTTCTTAATTCCAGTGTAAACATTGCAACTATGTTTTTTGTTTTTGCATAAACTTAGTGTTAAATGATTTTATACCATTAATTCCCACTATAACTACCATTAATTCCCACTTAAGGGGCTAATGACGAATATATTATTGCCAGGGTGGAGCTATTCGCCAAGATTTATATTACCTGCTCAAAGATGAAAAAGATGTGCACTTCAAGTTTGGTAGTGCTCAATCAAATGGCGTGAGATCGGCTAGCCAAGGAATGGCTTCCTCAAAGTACTGTCTGAATATAGCCGGAGACACTCCTTCCTCAAACCGGCTCTTTGATGCCATTGTTAGTCACTGTGTCCCAGTGATAATAAGTGATGAGATTGAACTTCCATTTGAAGATGTGCTTGATTATTCTGAATTTTGCATTTTTGTCCGAGCTTCTAGTGCCCTTAGGAAGGGTTACCTTTTGAATCTCCTAAGGGGTATCCCAGAAGACAAGTGGACTAGAATGTGGGAAAGGCTCAAAGAGATCACGGTACACTTCGAATACCAGTACCCATCCCAACCAAATGATGCTGTTGATATGATTTGGCAAGCAGTTTCAAGAAAACTATATTCCATACAGCTGAAGGCTAACCATGATAAAAGATACCATAGATCAGAGCTCTTTCTCAAAAGCCAAGAACATTAAGGTTGCATTTGTGATTGGTCAAAATAGTTTTCCTCCTAAGATGGATACCGGCCCCAGGTTAGGCTTTTCCTTGTACAATTCTGTAATCTGTATTGCCCTTACTAGACTATTTCAACATTATTATACATATAACAGCATCGTGCCACGACAACTTCTCTCAAATCATGGTTTACAGTTATCCAATCTTTTGCAGGAGCCTTATTATGTGGTTGAATGATTCAATCCAACACACCTTAGATGTTCTTATAAATGAAGCCCTTTCNGCCCTTTCAACACCAACTTATCCTTCCCTAATTTGAAAATGATATATTTATGTTTTTGGCCAATGAATTCACCTTTAAGCAGTGGCAGAGGCAGTGGGTGGTAGAACACGCCCCCCCCCCCCCACCGAGTCTATCCCGACAAAGGTGCCCTTTGTATTTTCAATGATTTCACTGCAACTGTGCCCCCTTAGAATGCAATCTTACCTCAGCCACTGCCTATAAGTAATTCTTTTAGTGTTATTGACTCGATTAAAGTGTATGTAATAGTATTGGTTCATATGTTTTTCAACAATGGAGTTGGAACCTGGGTAAACTTTCTATGTATCTTGGGAAGTAGACTTCCTACCACTCAAGCGAAATGAGAAGTTCGCCTATAGTATTTAGTTTAGCTAATCGACTGAACATCACATGTTTGGACAGATTTCTTATAAATTGAGCACATTGATACTCCGGAGTATATCAATATATCATGACTTTTCAGGGTTCTAACTTCTAAACCTATTGTTACTTATTCTGTACATCTTGAAATAAGCGTATGTAATCCAATTGGTGAAAAGTAGAGTGCACGGCACTTATTTTTTGTCCATATGTTTTTTTTTTTTTGCAAAAGGGATCGCCCATATGTTTGATTTCCGCAATTTTAAGTAGTTTTTAAACTTTTTTTTCCTGTCCCATTACGGGGAATTGGTTACAAGCATTTCACATGGTAAAAAAAAATTACGAGTAATTTTTTTAATGGTAAGTTTGGGAACATGGCTTTGGATTTTAAATCCGGATTTGGTTTAAATTCCATGTTTGGGAAATTTAAGCATTTTGAATTTGGATTTGAATCAAATTCTTTACATTCAAAACAAAGCTTAATTTGAAATCCATGTACCTTCCTTTGTCATTTGAAATTCAGGATTTTAAATTTTGGAATTGAAATGTATGAATTGAAATGAAATACTAGTTGTCAAACACTACCTAAGAGCATTTAAATTTTATTAAAAGAAACAAATTACAACCCACCATAGAATGTATTGAGTTGTCTTTCAACATTTTTGTGGCCCATTGAGGGAATTTGATTAGAAGCATTTCACATTGTTAAAAAATACCCCATATAAAATTGTCAATAAAAAAACAAATTACATCTAACACTAAATTTTTGCTCGAACTAAATTTTTGTTGCACTGCAACTATTGAAATTGACATGGAAATGACGCGTTTCACGAACATTGACATGATTGCAAAAAAGGATTGTTGATATTTGTAACATTGTAGCATGTCGAAGTCTACATCTTCATCACTCACAAAAAAAATCACTTTCAATATGTTGAATAAGTATCAATATTAAGGAGAAATACATTTAAAAAAAGCATGTGCTTGTACATATGAAAACAGAAAAATGACATAATAGCATCATTAAATACCTTCAACACATTAAAACATTTTTCCACCTGAAAAAATCACATCTCTCGATAATATAAGTACAATTATGATTTTAAAAAAATCTAAACTCCACTAAAATAATGCTTATTCTACATACTATTTCAACGAACAAGCATGTCTTTAGTGAGCTTAATATGGAATAGCGTTTTTAATTCTATTTGCACAAAAACCTTCTAGGCATTCATTATTAATCTACTACACCAAAGTATTTTAATACTCCGTACCATTTTTATATCAGTCATTACGCCCCACAAAGCTGTTGAACTTTTTTGAAGAAATAAATTTAGTACAGATTACATGACATGCACAATGCTGGTGAAAAACATTCACCCGTATACGTAGAAGGTGGACAAAGTTTTAATATTATTATTTGTAATATTATTAAAGCAAAAAACAAATACTTTATCACGTAAATATGTTCATTCAAAATTTGTTCAACTAGAATATGAATAAGATTTCTAGTATGTGATTCATTAAAAATCTCAAAATTCAAGAACACGTGTGACCATTGTAAATTTGTAAGTATAATGTGAGACGGTGAAGAGGTCGTACTCAAACCTCGTAAGAAAAGTACACATATTGGTTTGTTTGGAGGATGGATGTGAAAAGCCACGTTCAACTCGCTAGGAAATTTAGCTATTTGACAGGTTGGAGTAACACATTTGGTCACACCTCTTATATTTAAGATTGTTTTTTCGAGAGGTTTTAAGTTTGAGTCGTTGTGAATGTGAGATAGAGAGCTTTCTATCAATGAATTTCTAGTATTTCAGATTAGCTTTTTGATTGGATCAATTGTGAATGCCTCATTTTCAGCGAGAGTGGGAGCTTGGATCTACTAGATACCTTAGCAGAATCTACTGAGAACATGATGCAAATTATGAGGGGAGTCAACGAAATTAATCAGTTGAATAGGATCAGTGATAGCTAACCTATAATTGGTGACTCTTTATGTGCAGGAGTGTAATGAGCTCGTACTCTAAACTTTTTGAAATGAGGTCATAGAGATTTTGATGTCCGATACAAGTTAGAAAACTTTCACTATGTTTGATTTAAGAATTTTGAAAGGAGAAGAATAGTAAATATTTTTTTAATTTTTTGTTTTCTTTTCATCTCTGATCAAATAAGAAAAATTATTATTTCCTCTCATTTACAAGAAAAAAAGGAGAATTTACCTAAATACTATTAAAACATAATGATTTTCTCAATGTAGTATCACATGTTTTTATCTCTTAATACTAATCATTGTTTAAATAAATATCTACTGTTACTGGACATTGTTCAAACTATATGTCCAACATCACTGAATATTGTTTCCGCCACTTGACATCATTCAAATACTATTTAGAAAATAAAAAAAGTTTAAGTACTATATTGAAAAATGATTTACTCATATATTTTAGTATTATTTATTACTCCCTCCGTCCATCAAAGATAGTCTCATTGCGCGTTACAAGGTTTGACCGACTTTATTTTCAATTCAATTTATTTGATTGTAAGAATAAAATTCAAAAATAAAATTTATATAGTAAAAAAGTACATGAAAAGTTCTACAAAACTAAAGATGACAACACTATTTTATTTAATGAAATGAGTAGTAAAAATAAGCAAACAAAGTGTGTAAAGTTTGACCCTAATAGTATTTGGGAAGATTAGAGGTAGAACAAATTTCAACAACAAAAGAAGCTCTTTAAAATGCTTCCGTATGAATTACTGTAAAAATTAAGGGTTTCACTTTTCAAAACTTCCGCCGCTACACTGTCTACCTCCTGGGAACCTGCAAGTGCCCAAAAACCTCCGCCAAGAGGAGCCGGAAATACCAATCCAGGACATGGATATCGAATCCAACGTCAATGCGGACGCTGGGATTAAGGATGGCGGTTCGAAGCGGCTGAGGGACGAGGCTGGTAATCCGGATTGCGGCGAGAATGGTGACGCCTCGAAGAAGGCGAGGGTCGATAAGCCCGTCGAAGGGAGATTGCCGGAAAACTCCGAAGGAATTAAAGTTGGGGAGGGAGAGAGAAAAGCTGTGGACGGGTCGGGTCGGGTTACTTTGGGTCCGAAAAGCTTTGGGTCGTCCGTAGAGATGTTTGATTACTTCTATAAGCTGCTCCATTACTGGACTCCTAATTTCGACATCAACAAGGTACTAATGCGTCAGACTTTATAAATTCATTATCAATCACACAATCACAGAGTAGAATTGAGAACTACTAATGGGGTATTTTGTTGCCACTGTTATGAAATCATAAAAGATCTCTTAACTCGTATAAACATGTTACTATCAGAAGATAGGTCAAATTTCCAAAAAAAAAAAGAAAAGAAAAGAAAAGAAAAATGAAGTCTTTTTACATTTATAGTTCAAATTTCTTTAGGCATCGTATTGAAAGTTTGTAATCTTTTTAAAGATTTAGCTGATTGCAGGAGTTTCTATGTTGCAGTTTAGTTTAAATAATTTTTTGCTGCGTAATTGTTTGGTAATCTTTGGAACAATTCTACTTTGGAGTGGCATAAACTGGATTTGGTTTATTTGTTTATGTATTGTAGAGTGGAGACTGCATAATTGTTTGACAACATTGATTACCTGTCTTATTGATTGCTTCGGTGCTATTTCTCATGCTTGGGACTAAACAAAATTTGAAACATGTCATTATATGAATTTACAAAAGACCTAATCTGCATACTTGAGTTGAGTGCAACATTTTGTATAATTGTAACCGGTAACCCGTAAGCATGGTGACTCTTTCTGAAGAGAAAGTTGGCATTGGGGCATGAATTTTTAGATGTAATTTTAGAGTAAATTTACATCACATATGCATTTGACTGTATTATGTTCCATTGGTGCGTACCAAATGTAATGGAACGGTTGATGTATCTGTCGACTTGGTTTCCTTTGTAGAAGCTGCATTTAGTATTTGCTATTCTCAAGTTAACAATAAAAAACTATAGTTTCTTTATCATTTGAATATGTTCTCTGAGTTAAACAGTTGTTGTAGTTCTGAAGTTTGCATTGAGATATTCAGAGGGAAGGGTAGGGGATATATTTTTTTTTTGAAGGGGGGTAGGGGATAGATAATAGTAGTAAAAAGTTGCATTTTTTAAAAAAATAAAATTCTAGAGGTTAGGTTTTGAACTTTTAATAAAGAGAATATGTAAGATGAGAGAGTAGGATCACTTAACTAAAAACCATTAAACACACTTGTACTTTTCAAAGTTGAACTTTTAAAAATTTCCCTTCACTCCTTTCCAAGTCCTTCAATACCTCCATAGATTTAGGTTCTATTTAAGGCCTTATATAGTAAAAATTTGGTGATAATTGATAGTTATGAACAATTGGAAAGGAGTGAAGGGAAATTTTTACCAGTTGAATTTTTATATAGTAAAAATTTGGTGATAATTGATGGTTATGATAATTTGAGTGAAAGGAATGGAATTGGAATTGAATTGGAATTGAAATTCCATTGGATTCAATTCCATAGAATTGAATTCTACCAATTCCTATTCATTTTTTGCACTATCAATTCCAAATCCACATAGTTATTGTGCTACCAAACATCAGAATTGGAATTGAAGTTCTCAATTCCAATTCCATAATTTAAATTCCATGTACCAAACGGGGCCTCAATGATGTTTAATAACATTTTAAGTCCCTAATTGTTTCATTTGATATGTTAAGGTTTGTTTGGCATGTATTTCATGTTGATTTTCAAAGTTTTCAATGTGCTGTGGGGGTTCATATTGCATCATACGTTGAAGACTAATTTGAAGACTAATTTTTTCCATCATCTCCGATGGAGTCAAAATTTCACCATTTTTGACTTTGGGGTGTGATGGAATAAATCAAAATGGATCTCTAAACTATCTGCGCTTCTTTAATTAATGAAGTAGCAGTTAGTCAAACACTGCAACTTTCGATGTTGAGCCGGGGGTCTCTTTGGAAACAGCCTCTCTACTTTCGAGTAGGGGCAAGGTCTGCGTACACACACCCTCCCCAGACCCTGCTCTTGTGGGATTTAACTGGGTTGTTGTTGTTGTTGATGTGTGAACTATGAAGTTTGACTTCTGGTTGTGATAATTGCAGTACGAACATATGTTGTTGCTTGAACTGCTTAAGAAGGGCCATGCGGAGCCTGAGACGAAAATAGGCGAAGGAGTTCGTGCATTTCAAGTTCGAAACCATGATGTATTTAAAACCAGATGCTTCTTCATTGTAAGGGTAGATGGTTCTGCAGAAGATTTTAGCTTCAGGAAGTGTGTCGACCGTATCCTTCCATTGCCTGAAAACATGCAAGTAAAGCACAATGCCAATAAGGCCTTGGGTGGTGGCGGCAAAAGAGCAAGAGGTGGTGGTGGTGGTGGAGGTGGTGGCCGAGGCCGAGGCCGTGGCAGTGGAAAGGGAAGAAACTGATTGATTTTCCCTTGTTTTGTTGGATGAAGTGACCCCGAAATTTACTATCTCTAGCATATGTTTTGGAAGATATATCTTGTTGCTTTTGGCTGGGAAATGCTAGATGTAGACCATTATTTACATCACTCGCACCACTCTAAATTTTGAACTATGCAGACAAATTTTGTTTGTTTTATCCATTGTCTGATAAAACTTGTTTGTAGTTCAAGATTTTAGGTGTGGTGTATGTTTGGCCAAAATCCAGAATTACAAGCTTTTGACATTCTCTCTTCTACTTCTGGATTTCCCCCCTCCATAATCCATATTACGGATGCCTTTCCATAACCCTGGCTTACGGCACCTTTAATTTTGGTTTTCGCGGTCTCTCCTTTTTAAAGTGTTTTATATGGGCCTGTTTGACAAGAGTCTTAGACCATTTGTAGTGGTTCGAATCCCGTTGAGGTGCTTTTCACCATGTGGGCTTTTTGTAAAGCGAATGAATTTTATTTTATTAAATAATCAATGAAAACACGCAAATAAATATAAGGTATCGAGAGGAGAAAGAAAATAAATTTGTAATCAAAATTAGGATGGAGTGAGAATGAAAATGTCTCTAAAATGCCACATTTTATGGTTAAATTATGAGGAGTAGCTTCTTGCGTTTGGTGTTGGCGGAGATTAGGAGACTTCTTTCTACTTCAAATGCAATGGAAAATAAACACAAACATAGAGTGTTCTGTTTGGATGGAGGGTGGAGGCCGGGGAAAATGAGTCTCTCCTCTTGTTTGGTTTAAAAAATGAAAGGGAAGGGATCTAATATATTAGCTTTTATCCCTTACCTCCAAACATGGGTGTACACGGGCTAATTCCGGTCCGGGAAAGCCGGATCCAGAACCGACGCTTCTGGTTCTTGTTCCAGGCTAGTTCTCGGATCCTTTTTTAATCTAATATACGAATAATATAATAATATATCTAACGTAAAAGAAATTTATAACTTTTTATATATTTTATAAACTCTAAGAATGTAGTACTCCATCCGTCCGGAATTAAAGTTCCCACTTTGACTATTCTCCATTTTTAGTAGGAGTTGACTAATGGCTTGCATTGCCCAAAATACTCCTGCTCTTCCTAAGCTTGGTTTTCATCTCAACACCAAAGCCACCCCAACCGCCCCACCGCCCCAACCANCCCCAGCCCCGCCATACCTGTAATTGTAAAGCAAAAGCCTCCCTCAACCGTAGATCTATGAGGAGATGAAATCCAATCACCGCACGTAGATCTGAGCGGGAAGAAGAAGAATAAGAAAAAGAAGGGGAGAAGAGAAAGAGAAGACGATGGCCAGATCTAGCCGAGAAGGGAAAGGGGAGAAAGAAGAAAAAGAAGGGGGGGGGGAGAGTGAGAGAAGATGATCACATGATTTTGCCGAGAAAAGAAAGGGAGAAAGAAGGAAAAGGAGAGGAAGAAGAAATGAAGAAGAAGAAAATTCGGAGAAGAAAAAATAGAAGGGGGAGGGGGGAGAGAGAAAGAACCACGAGAGAGAAGAAAAAGAAAGGGAGGGAGGTGTGGCTAGATTTGCGAGAAAAAGAGGGGAGAAGAAAGAAAAAGAAAAAGGAAGAAAGAAAGGAGGAGAAAAAGGGGTATTTAGGAAGAGTGTGTATGAAAACGTAGAATGAGAACTTTATTTCTGGACGGAAAAAAGCGTAGAATGAAAACTTTATTTCCGAACGGAGGGAGTAGTTATTTAAATAATAAAAGTTGAATTCTACGACTATATTTAATATCCCGACGGTTCAAAAAAGCAGCGAGGTAGAGAACCGTAAAGAAACCCTCGAATGAGCTTATTAATCGCTCACCTAAAAAAACTAATTACAATTTGAAAATGATACAAAGTTATTCCTCGGAACTACAACTTCCCTTCGTTGTTGCATCCATGTAATTTTGGGTATCAATGTCGTAACCAGTCTCTTATGCTTGACGCCTTGTCAAGAGCCAATCTCGGTTGCAAACAACTGTCTCATGTGATTCAACATTAACACAACTTCGATAGTCAGATAGAATGTTGCCGCTAGAACTGAACTCTTGTTCCACAGCTACAGTTCAAACCAACATAGATAACACTCGTCTGACTAGCATTTCGAGTGATAGGAAGAAACTGGAAGAAGTTGGAAAAACGGAAAAGAATTGGAAGAAACTGATAAATAATGAAAGAAACTCAAAAGAGTTGAAAAATGTTGAAAGTTAAGAGTTAGAAGCTCAAGAAAACAAAACATTAGTACTCCGATCCCTCCTTTGAATTTAGAAATGATCTTCCCATCTAACTGTATACGGTCCCCAATATAATATTTTGACCATTAAAATCCACATTTATACATACAGAAAAATTACTCTGGGATACCCTTGATTTTCAGGTAATGACTCTCTTTCCCACATTATCTGAAATATACTTCGGGGTACCCTCGATTTTCTGGTAAGAACTCCTAGGCCCCACATTATTTGAAATATACTTTGGGGTCCTTAAAATTTGTGATATTATACTTCGTGGGTACATTCCATCCATTTATACATTAGGATTGGAAGTTTCTTTACTTTTAGAAACTGAATGATTTTATTTAAATTTAATAGCATAATTGCTGTGAATGTAAAATTAAATTTAGTATTTGCCAAAATACTAAATTTTTTAACTCTAACGGTAAAATAGATGAAATATACCCAATGAGTATATTATCACTAATCTTAAGGACACTCGTAATATATTTCAAATAATGTTGGACCTGAGAATTTTTACTCAAAAATCGAGGGTACTCCGGAGTATATTTCAAATAATGTGGGACTTGGGAGTCATTACCAGATAATCAAAGGTACTCTGGAGTAATTTTCTCTTTATACATAGATACTCCCTCCATCTAACAATGAACTCTCAAGTTACTATCATGGACACTCGATAACTTATGTTTGTTTGTACAATTTATCAATCATTTAATAAGATAAATTAAAATATTCTTGCTAGGTCTTGTTTTGTAAAACTTTTGAATTAGTTTTCAACAATGTTATTTGGGAGAAAGACCAAAGTACGACTAAAACATTGAAAATATACCAAAATAGGACTTCCATGTTTTTATTCCCGAAATAGGACTTACATTACCATACATGGTCATATACATTACCAAAAAAGTATAGTAATTTGCACATGTACACTGCCACATTACAACATGGCAAAGTCACATTACCACAGTGCAAAGTCCTATTTCGGAAAAAAACATAGAAGTCCTATTTTGGTACTTTTCTCTATGTTTTAGTCCTATTTAAGGTGATTTCTAATGTTATTTGTACTTTTTTATGATATATACCATTTTGTAAATAAAGTAATTTTAAATTAGATAAGATTTTGCATGTTGTTTAAAATGAAAAGTTTATTGTTGGACGGAGGAAATATATTTTATGAAAGTTTAATATTTCCAAGCTATGTTTCATAAAGAAACGATTGAAATGCAATACTCTCTCCGTCCCAATTTTTTTTACTCCCTCCGTTCCACAAAATATTTCTTGTTTTCATTTTTGAGGGATTCAAGAATGTATTTGGTTTTGACTTTTCAAAAATATCCTTGGATGTGGTTGGTAAAAGTAGATGATATTGGTAGATTAGTAATAAAAAAGTGTGATGCGATAGGTAAGTTAATAATTAGTAGTGGTAAAAGTGATTTTTTAATAGAAATAAGAAAAGTTTTTTGGGACGGTTGAAAAAAAGGAAGGAGAAATGTTTTATGGGACGGAGGGAGTATAAATTTTTTCACCCACCTCTCGATAATTTTTGTTTATTTGTGTGTTTTAATTTTTGTTTGGAGAACTTTTGACATATTTATTAATATATACTCCCTCCGTCCATTTTTAATGTTCAGACTTTGACTTGGCACGGAGTTTAAGGAAAAATGAAAAATGTGTTGACCTCCCCAAAATACCCCTACACATAACCCCATGTCCCCACCAATTTAACCAGCCAACCCAGCCCCAAATTCCTCCCAGCGACCTAGACCCAACTACCCTGGCAAAGAGCTTCACCATCGATTGAGACCTCTCCACCGTCCCACCTCCTTCAGCGTCAGTCGGCAAACTGTCGAAGCTTCAAAACCTTTCCTTCATTTTGTCTGTGCAATTGAAGCTTTAGATCTAGACTCCTTCCTTCAAATCTGGCGAAGAGCAACACTCAAAGACAAAAAGGTTTAGAAGATAAAGAAAAAACTTAAATACAAAGAAAATCTGATCTTCAATTGCCGACAGATGAAAAGTCGGAAGATAAGGTAGCGATGTAAGAACAAAAGATATGAAATGTTGGCCGCACGTGGAAGATGAAGAGACGTCGACGAGGACGCCTATGTCCGTTCTCGATTGTGTTGGAGGATGAAGATGATTGGGGGAGTTTGGAAGAGGAAGACGGTGGGTGGCAGAGGTTGGAAAAAGGAGACGACGGGTGATGGAGGTTCAAAGAGGAAGATCCACTGTGGCGGAAATTGGAAGGGGAAGGTAGATGACAGAGATTGGAAGAAGAAAATGGTTGGTTGAGATTGTTGAAATAAAGATAAGGGTAGAATTATTAGATAAGGGTAAATATGACATTTGACTTAAAAAAAATTTCCAAAAAATAAATAGAAACTTTATTTGTGGACGGATGAAAAAGAAAAGTGTGAACATTAAAAATGGACGGAGGGAGTAATTTTTATTTTTTTATTGACGCAATAATTTTTAAATAAAATAATTTCAAAAGATATGAGATTTTATCTCATAAATCTAATTAAGATTCTAATTAAGATTCTGACGGATTTTATAAATTTGTAAATAAATTTTGGACAGAGAGAGTATATATAATTTTTTATATATCAAAGTTAAAATTTAAAAACAAAATGAAAAGATCAATTTGGATCGAAGAAGTAATGATTAACCTCATCCCGTTGGCTTAAAAAAAGGGTAAGAAACGTTCGATGATAGGATAAAAGTACTGTACCCACTAACCAGCCTATGAATTACTCCGTACTGAATTGTCCTCTGCAAATCTAAGCTTAAGTACGTATTTCCAAATGTAACTCCTCTCTCCACTCCGGTGCTTTAACTACACCATTTGTTGCTCTTTTGATGATAACATTTATGACTACACTATTTACTAATGAATTACTTCCTTAATCCAAAAATATTCTTCCTGTGTTACTCAAACGATAATATACGAATGAAAAAAATATCAAGTGAAATTTATACTGAATAGGACTAAAACATACTCCCTCCGTCCCATGAAACATGGGATTTTTGCGGATTTAAGGGGAGTGTATTTTGGTATTGAATTTCCAAAAATGTCCTTTGATGTGATGGGTAAAAGTATGATTTGATGGATAAATTATTAGTAAAAAAGTATGATGTGATAATTAGGGTGTGAAAAAGTAAGGGGTAAAAGTGACTTTTTAATAGAAATGAGAAGTGTTTTGTGGGACGGATAAAAAAAGAAAGGAGAAAGGTTTCATGGGACAGAGGGAATAAGTCATTTCCTAATGTAGGACTTAAACTTTTTTATTTCTTAAATAAAACTTTATAATAACTAGTGGGAAGAATAATGTCTAAGTGATGCTGGACATTCAGTTGAATAATGACTAAAGATAATGACCAATGGTCCTACATTGAGAAATAAAAACATATGGTCCTATATTGAGAAAGTCATTATTTTTTATTTATATTTAAGTAAATTATCCAAATATCAAACTTCTAAAAACACATATCATTACTTTAAACATTTAGAGTTCCTTTATTTTTTTAGAAAATAATAAAAAAGTAGACGTGTCGCAAAGTGGAAGGGTATTATTTGCATTTACTTTTAAAAATTAAACTATCAAATGAAATGCGAAGACTATATATTTTTAGACGGACCATGCATAGAGAAAATTGAGAAGAACATTTACGAACGGAGCGACAAAAAAGTGACAAACTCTCAAAAATGCCCAACTTTAACCTCTCGATAATTTTATTATATTTTTATATTTTCATTGATTATTTGATAAAATAATTAAAAAATTGTTGGCATCTCGTACTGTACGTGTAGAACTTGTGATATATCTTTACAATATGTGAGTTGAATTTGTTTTATTTCTATAACATGACAATTTGCAAAGAGTTATATTCACAAAAATGTACACATAAAAAATTAAAACATGCATGCATGGATTAAGATTATTAATCCAATACTATCATTATTAATAATAAGTAGGCCCCACCACTTCGAATGCACTAAATTCCATAATTACCTTAATTAATATACGAACTCCATTCCCATCTACGGAGTGTATATATCTATACTACATCCTCCCCTTTGTTGCAGGAATTGCATCATTTCAACTCCACACTATAATCACTTCTTGATATATAAATCAAATCAATCCTTTTGGTTTGCTAGGGAATGGCAAAACCAGAAGAAGAGATTATTGTTAATAATAATATTAACAATAATAATATGCCGCCGCAGCAGCTTTCCTTCCCTCTTCCCTCCCCGCTAATGGAGGACGACGGCGGAATAAGATGGACGGCGACAGAGATGAACAACAATATTATTGGTTGGGATTATTATAATAATTATTATTATCATTATGAAGATGAGAGTTATTATGATTTTCAGCAGTGTTTTCCCCCCATGGATATGCTTCTCTTCAACGATCCTATTACTTCTCCCTGTGGTATTATCAATCCTACCCAAATCATCACCCAAGGTATACTACTTACACAAACACACACACACACACACACCTCACCATAAGTCCTCTCTATATATTCTTTTTACTTGTCACTTCCAAGAATCCGCTACTGTTCGAAAAAAGACGGGCTTTAATTAAAAATGTGTAATTTTGATGTTTTTTTAAATTTTTCCCTTTATAATATGGTATATAAGATATGTAGAATAGAGAATTTTGAAATTAGAAAATAACACCAAAAATTCATACTTTTAAAGTGTTCTTTCTTTTTTTGCAAATGGGAAATGCTTTTTTTTGGATGGATGGAATAGTTGTGGATTGTTGTAGAGAATGTTAAAAGTTCATTTGTTGGATGATAGTGGGCCAAAGTAACATTTTTAATTAATTTCTACACAAATATACTTCGATTAAGATTATTAGATATATTAGAATTGAAATGAATGTAGACATACGTAAGTCTACATTCATTCAAAATCTTTAATAAACAGTCATCGTAGAATGGAGGAAGTATATTGTTATGAAGATGGAAGAATATCATTTTTGTGTATGTTTGCTAAAACTTGTTTCTATTTGGTAGATTATTATGGAAATTTTGGGTATGATCACCATCAAGAGTGTGGAGCACTACAAGAGGAGCACAAGGAGATGTTATTATCCAGTGATGAGTATATGGGGATTAGTGGAGTAGAAGTGGACATTGAGACAGAGAAGAAGAATAACAGCAAGAATGACAACAATAACAGCAAGAGCGACAACGACGACAACAGCGATAACAACAAGAGTATGATGTGTATAAAAATGTTGGGGAGAGAAAGATTGTCAAAGTACTTCTACATGCCAATCACAAGGGCGGCAAAGGAACTAAATGTGGGTCTGACGTTGCTAAAAAAGAGGTGCAGGGAATTGGGAATTCGGCGTTGGCCACATCGGAAGTTGATCAGTCTCCAAACCTTAATTACCAATCTTCAGGTTTAATTTGTTTCACACCCACACTCTACCCCTTCTCCTCTTTTAATTAATTATTAATTACTCTCTTCTTCTTCTTTTTATAGTTAAATCCTTCTTCTACTACACAATAATTTAACACGCTCATTAATTATTTCCCTTTTCAGTTTCACATTCCTTTTTCAATCCTACTTTTAATTCTTGTAAAAATTTTTATGTCCGGTATATCATTATTTTTAGTTTATTTTATGCGACATAAGAAGCATTTTTCTTATGCTTTTGCCATTCGATAAAGTTTTCATTGTTATATTTTTAATTAAATCCGGTCCTTGTCATTCTGGAAATAAAAACATGAAACTATTTTTTTGATATATTTTTAATATTTTACTTTAGTGTTTTTCCCTTTTTCTCGCACGCCTTTTTCTCCTTTGTCTTCATTTTTCTTATATATTGAACTTCTTTACCTATTTTAATTGATCATTAACTTGATAAAATAAATTTATCTTGTCACTATTGGTTATATATATATATATATATATATATATATAGTACTTTTGAAATAGTTTTTAACTATAGAAGTTTTATTTATTAATTAATATGCTGCACTAATTTTTATATAAATTAAATTAAAAATAACTTTGATCAAATATCATAATCTTAAAATGGAAGAATTAAGGGACTGAAGTAATAATTAATAAGAATAATTGGGTGATTTTAATTGATAATGATTAATAAGAATAAATGGTTGATTTTAATTGAAAACAAGATTTTTTTAGGATGAACAAAAAGTAAAAGAGAAATACATATCTTGTGGGACGAAGAAAAAACTTCTACGGAGTATAATTTACTCCGTATTAGTTTTTTAAAACAATTCTGCTCTAATTTTTTGCGCACCACATAAAATGTCTAAAATAAATTCCATTTAGTTTAGTACGTGTAGAAGTTATTTTAAGGATATTTTAGACAGTTTAGGTAGAGTAAAGTATTTTATGAAGTGTGCAAAAAATTAAGGCTGAAGTGTCTTCAGGAATGAAGGATTATTATTTTTTGGTAATAGTAAGAATTATTATCTGATTAATGGATGCATGTTTGTGCATTTAAAGGAATTATTAGGGAATAGAGATGAAGAAGACAAGAAGTTGAGAGAAGCGATAAAATTATTAGAGAAGCAGAAGCGGCAAATAGAAGAGAGTCCTGACATAGAGATGGAGGAGACCACTAAAAAGCTCCGGCAGGCTTGTTTCAAAGCCAACTACAAGAAGAGGAAGCTCGTCATCATGACCGCCGGCACGCCGCCGGTGCAACCTCCGGCGAAACATTCTCCGGCCACAATTGATTATTATAGTAATAATAATAATGAGGAGGAGGACCCTGAAATAAAATCTCTTCTGTATTGCTTCTCCTCATCCTCTTCTTCTTCTAGCAATTTTCATTCATAATAGTTTAATTTGCTAGCTGATTTATCTTTAGACACTTCCAAAATCCCTAAATTTGGCATATAGTAATACCGAGTATTCACTTAATTTCCTTTTTTTGTACAAGGTATTATGAAGTAAAGATCGAATTACTAGTGTTAAGCCTGCTTGGTATGTGCTCATATATTTTTTAGTTTTTGACATTTTGTAAATTAAAGGAAAAAAAGGATTAAAATAGAAGTAAATCACATAGAATAATTAGTACTCTCTCTATCTTAAAATGTTCTTCCTACTTCCCTTTTTTCTCCGTCCTAAAACTACCTTCTCATTAGAAAAAAAGATGACAAATGACATTAATATCTTCATGTATTTACACCAATTATCTTCTAACTCTATATTTTGAATGATTGCAAAAAAAATTTTAAAAAATGTTTTTTAAGGAGGGTAAAATTTGAAGTCAAAGCCAAAAATTAAAAATAAGGAAAAGTCAAACTGGAAAGAAAGAATTAGGACGGAGGGAGTACATTGTAATACGAGTAAAATTTACATGGATTATAATACTTTCTCCGTCCCAAAAAAATGTGTCACTTTCACTTTTTATTTGTTTTAAAAGTAGAGTAAATTTCATAAATATTCTTTTATTATATACTGTTTTCTATATTTAGTCTCCAATTTTAAGATATTTCATAAATGTCTTAATTTTTTGAAAACTATTTCACAAATAGTTCTTTTCACCAAATATGACAATATTTTGATTAAACTATCAAAATGATCCTTTATAATAAGGTTTTTACCAAAATAATCTTTAATGAGCAAAAATTACTAACGTGATACTTTATAATTGAGATATGTTTCCTAAATACTTTATTTTTATTGAGATGTGTTTCCTAAATACTCTTTATAATAGAGATGTGTTTCCCACTTAATTAAAAAAAGTCATTTTAATGATTTATTCATAGTTCAGATCAGATAATACGGCCCGGTTTCGTGGCCAATGGATTCTAGTGGCCACGGAAGGCATTGCCCCCTACGAAGCTTCGTTCATAAAATTGATGATTCATACCCCCGTAATCCCTCGGTAAACCCCCCTAACGAGTCCTGGCCCCAACTCATCCCCACCGGCCCGACCTACGTCAATTGCACCCCGTAAGCATCAAAATATCCTCTATTTAACTTTCATTTAATAGACATTTTTTATAAAAGACTATTTACAAAACACATCTCAATGATAAAGAATCACGTTAGTAGTTTTTGAGAAAACTTTATTAGAAAGAATCATTTTGAGAATTTACCCGAAATGCATAGTCATATTTGGTTAAAAGGACTATTTGTAAAATAGTTTTTAAAAATTTTGAGGACTGTTTATGAAATATCTTATAATTGAGGACTGAATATGGAAAACTACCTAAAATTAGGGATCATTTATGTAATTTTACTCTAAAAAATATTATTAGCCTATCAATCATATCTATTTCTTATTAATTTACTCATCGCATCATATCATACAATTAAGTAAGGATAAAATTGGAAAACAATATATAGACACACACACACCCACACACATACATACATATATTTATATAGATAGAATTAATTTATTTACTTTTTCAAAAACTTCGAGAGTCGATGCTAATAGTGCCCTATTCTCAAAAAGTATAATTTTTCATATTTTCCAATAAGTTTGGATAAGTGAAGTCCATGACACTATACTCTCGAGGGGACAACTAGTGTCAAAAGTCCATAATTTGGGCAGAATTTCAACGTCAATGGTTCCATATATGAATCACCAAACATCTTTGACTTTGATCATCCAATCATAAGAGCTTCTGTGTCTCTATCTTTATAAAATGACGTAGATGAATGCAATTTCATCTTTGATCATTCAGTTTCTAAGTATAATAAATTTAAGGCATGAGATTTTGTAATTTTAAAGATAGTAATTCATTTTATGATAGAATGATCAAGTAATGTAATTAGTTCATATGTTAAATATATAAAAGTAAAAAATTTAAAAATATAATATGCTTAGCTTATTGAAAAGCAAACACAACTTTGGATTTTATCGATTTTAGTTCTAATCAGTTTTGGATACTATCGGTTTCGAGTTTTATAAGTTTCGAATCTTAGTGTTAATCAATTTGGATTTAAATCGGATATGAATTATTTAGGAGGGTGTATTCAATCTAGATTTTAAAAGATTATGATAGATTGTTTAAAATCCATGAATTCCGTAATATTTTAAATCTACGCAGAGTTAGATAGATTTTAATGTATTTTATGAACATGATTTTATAAGACTATGGAAGATTGTTTATAATCCATGAAGATTATGTTTTCCTTTTTTTCTTCTTCTTTTCTTTTTTTCCTTTTTTCTACCAAGAACCTCCGCCGCTACATCCTTTCTTTCCTCTTCCCATTATGTTTTCCTTTCTTTTCTGTTCTTTTCTTTTTTCTTTTTCTTTTCTTTTTCTTTTCTTTTTTCCTTTTTCTACCCAGGAACTGCCGCTGTTCTTTTTTCCTTTTTCCTCCTTGGCCATCTCTTACGCCTCATGCTCTGGATTGACATCCTCTGCCGCGAACAGGGAGAAGAGCAGTTCGGCTGCAAAATTGCTGCAAAAGAGGACGGCATCTTCGGCTGCAAAATCTTCGGCGAACAGAGATAAGAGGGCATCTTCGGCTGCAAAATCGCTGCAAAATAGGTCCGGATTGACATCCTCCGCCGCGAGATCTTCCAGATCTACTGTCCGGATCGACATCTTCCTCCACCTCAATTCCTTCCTGGCACTGTTCACGGCGTAACGGGGAAACGTCTCGAGATGACGAAGGAGTCCATGAAGGAGTTGTCAAAATCCCTATCTTTGGCGTGAGATTTGGGAGTAGATTTCTATTTATATCCAAGGCTAAAAATCCATCAAAATCTACATATTTTAAAATCTTTAAAAATCTATCAATTTTTGAATACCATTAGATTTAGAAAGATTGTTTAAAATCTGAATTGAATACATCTAGATTTTTAATGACTTTTTAAAATCTGAATTGAATACCCACAGACTTTTAAAATCCAAAAAAATACTACAGAATCCAGATTGAATACACCCCCCTTAGTTTGTTTTCGGCTTGAATCATTTTAGATTTTCGATTATAGATCGAATCTTCATTATTCAAATCATTTCGATTTTGGTTTTGGATAATTCAGTTCGTGTAATCCATTCCAATTCTATTATACCTGTCTACGGATTGCCACCTCTAGTCCCTAGGGCTTAATCGAAGAGCTAGATTGATTAAACAATCCTTGTTAAAAATAGGCTAGCCTTTTGTGTGATCCCGTCAAACACATTACAAGCATCCTAGATGTACCTCAAAATAAATCTCAAACATTTATATTTATATTTTAATGACTTAATTGACACAAAACATCAAAGTGATGGATACCTTGGACTGGGGATATTCATCACAACAAAAACAATAACGGCCCAACACTAGGCCCGTCTAGTCACAGGAATTGGACGCGCTCGTCCAAAAACGCCTCACTCGACTGAGCAAGACTTAAAAGGAAACTAGGCCTCAATGTGCCAACCACACTCAGACACACGCCTCTCCTCAACCCGGACCCATGCACTCGGACCCAAGGTTGTCTTCCAATTACAAAGTCGCGTATTCGGCCTCTGCCGTCAATAAAGCAATGTAGGCCTATCATGGGCATGTGATCCTTTACGCCCTATCTACTCAACGGGCCCACACAAGAGCATCTTTAATACTATTCGTCTGTATATTATTTGTAGCCATACTATTTGTAATTATATCTCTTACTCCTTCCGTCCCGGAGTATTCATCCAGTTTTGACTTTTGGAATTGTTCATCTAAGCACTTTGACTCATCAAATTCTCTCAATTTGTAAGCCTAAATATAGTCATGTGTGATCTTGTTTGATTTGTCTTAACATATAGATTATTAATATATAATTTCTATAATTTTTTAATATACAAATTACAAGATAAAATAGATTAAAAAAGTGTATTGAATAGTGTGTAAAAATAAAAATGGACAAATACTCTAGGACGGAGGTAATATATTATTAGTCAAATATACGATTCCAGTGGACCCGACTCACTAGGTCCGTTCTTGGGGACAGGACACATTCACTACTAAGCAAGTATACTCTACTCTGTACTCTTGTAATCAAATGGCAATCAACCCTTCTCCTATTTAGTCTCTTAGGTCCGAATTCTAAAACTGATCAATAAGTAGATTTATTCAACACATTAATGAACATACATAATTTTAAATAAAATCACTAAAATTCACACATATATATAGTACTTACATATATTGGGAATTTCCTCACACAATTATCACATTAATAAACGTAAACCTTAAACAAAATAACAAAAATTCACACATATTACGAAATTGATTAGCACCACAATATCCCAAATCTCAAACACTAAGCTTGTCCATCTCCCTCCTAAGCGCATTGGCCCTCACCAAACTCCCGATCGTGTTCACGGCCAGCTTCAAGTCTTCAATGGGGTTTCCGGGCGCCACCCTCTTGTACAGATAACTATCAAACGTCATCTTCTGCACATACTCGTCGGAGCAGAGCTCCACGAACGCCTCCCTCGCCGGATTCGATCTGTAGAACACTTTCTGCAACACGTCCAGCACCTTATATGTCGGCCAATACGTTTTGTCCCATTTCTCCAAGTACTTTCTCAGATCTGATTCCTCAACCATTCTTTTCCCCTTCTCAGATCCCTCCACTATGGCTTCTGCGCACATCCGCCCGCTCTTCGCCGCGAAATAGATCCCCTCGCCGGAGCACTTTGTGACGTACCCTGCCGCGTCCCCGACCAGTGCGACTCTGTCTTTGACCCGGCGGGGTCGGGGGTGTTCCGGGATCGGGTGGGCCTCCACGCGGATGATTTTTCCGCCGGCAATTTTGGGCTCCGCGCGTAGGCGCGTTGCCACCTGGAATTTCTTGATGTCTTGCTTGTGGGTCACCGTGCCGGTGCCGACGGCGACGTGGTCGCATTTAGGGAAGACCCAGCCGTAGAAATCCGGGGAGACGTCGTCGCCGACGTACATCTCGGCGAGATCCTCGTAGTACTTCATCTTGTCGTCGGGGATGCGGATCCGTTCCTGGAAGGCGATTGCGTACTCGTAATCGCCGGCATCGATGGACTTCGCCACCCGGGAGTTCGCACCGTCGGCTCCGATGACGGCATCCACTTCCAGCGTCTTCTTCTCGCCGGCGCCGCCGACCTTGGAGTCGTACGCCGTGTAGTGGAGGACGTAGGGGGCGTTTGACGACTTGGGCAGATCCAATTTGAGAACAAGCCCGTTAATCACGAAGGCTCCGGCGGCGGCGGCCCGATCACGGAGAAAGGCGTCGAGCACCTCGCGTCGGACCATGCCGATATACTCGTGGGGCTTCAGTGTGCGGCCGATGTCGACGGCGACATTCGACGGCGAAATCATCTTCATTTTTGTGACTCGCCGGTCAATGATATCCAACGGGATGTCAAACTCGCCGACCATACAGAGCGGGATGGCCCCACCGCAAGGCTTACAGTTGTCCATCTTCCGTTCGATCAAGAACGTCTCTACCCCACCCTTGGCGAGAGTCTCTGCGGCGGATCCACCGGCCGGGCCACCGCCAACGATGGCAACCCTAAGATTCCGGCCGATGACTCGCGGGCTACTGTTGGAAGCATTCACGCGGAGTGCCCGACGACGAGAATGGGTTTTGGGGAGTGGATTGGACAGCACAGCGATGGAGGAGTTTTCCGGCGAGATACGGCGGAGCCCGGTGAAGGTTTTGATGGGAAGAAGAGCCATTCTTTGGGGGAGTAGTGAATTGAGACTGTGAAAAGATTGTTTGGTGAAGTTTATTTTGTGTGTGATATTTTTGAGTTTTTGACGGTGGATTGGAGATTGTTTTAGATATCAAAGAATCGATGACCGTTGGATGGTTGGAAATGGACGGGTGTAATATGATTAGGATAATGTGATTGGGTTTTGAAGGACAGTGGTCGGTCTTGGGACACGTAAGACAGGGAATTGTGTGGCGGAGGCGATGGAGCCATCTCCCGGGCAAAGACCAAAGGGATTGGGATTGTACCTAGTGTAGGGTCTTTATCAAAGAGTTGTGCGACAACAGTTATCAAGAGTTTTTTTTGAACCAAAAGCAGAGATTTTATTCATATTTCAATATACAAAGACAGATATAAAGGTAATCCATTCCAATCCTACTACATCATAATCAGAGTTCAATAAAACAAAATGCAGTACACCCAAGCATCCACCTTAGCCTACATCTTTGTGTCTTGAGCGCAAGAAGGTGCTAACATGACCCTTTATCCAGTAAAATGCTTCCTCTGTAGAGATAACAATATTCTTGTGCAGCTTCTGATTCCTACTTCTCCATATGCAGTATGAGCTTGCTGCAAATATGGCATTGATCTTCTTTCTTTTCTTCATGGGAGTGATATTCTGGATCTTTGTAATCATCTCTTCTAAATTGTCATCCTCAAACTTATAGGAGCACCAGCTATAGACCTTCATGTATATTTTCTTAGCATAAGGACAGGTGCAGAATAGATGTTGGCTGTCCTCATCACCATTCTGGCAGAGAAGACATAGAGTATCAATCGGGAGGAATTTGCTCAGCCTTACCTTGGTTTGGATTCTGTTCTTGCAGATTAGCCAGAGAATAATTTTGTGCTTTGGAATGGTAAGTTTGTTCCATACCAATTTAGCTCACCTGACACAATGTTGCTGCCCCAGTAACCATTGATATCCCACATCTGGAGTATACATTATTCCCCTGTCCATATGAGCAAAGTTGTCTCTGGTTTGTATCAATTTCTTCCAGTAGAAACAATCATCCTTTTTACCCTGATAATCCCAAATGGTATTATCCTTAATATATTTAGTATGGATCCATTTGATCCATAAAATGTCCTTCTTGAGTGCAATATCCCAAACCAACTTCATAACACATGCCTTGTTCCAGTAAATTAGGTTCCTGAATCCGAGACCCCCGTATTTCTTTGGCATACAAACATCTTCCCAGGCTACCAAGGGAGTTTTTTTATGTTCTTGATTTGATCCCCAAAGAAAGTTTCTGCAGAGGGCTTGAATTTTCTTCATGACTTTGCCTGGGAGTAAGAAGATTCTACTCCAGAAGTTAATGACTCCATACAAGACAGAATTTATTAGTTTAGCCTTACCAGCACAGGATAAATGCTTAGTCATCCAAGAACTAATCTTTATGGTCATTTTCTCCAAGAGTCTCTCACAATCCTTCTCGCTAATTCTGGAAGAGGTAACATGCCCTCCTAGATATCTGAGTGGCAGGACCCCTTTTCTCATTTTGGTTGCCTGCAGAATTTTGTCTTCTAACTGCTTTGTGACTCCACCAAAGATAATCTCAGATTTTGTTGGACTGATTGACAATCCTGTGGTATCTTTAAAATGTTTCAGAGCCATCATTATGCAGTTAATAGATTGTTCCTCAGCTTTGCAAGCAACAATTAGATCATCCGCAAAACTGATGCTGATAAGATTAAGAGATTTGCAAAGTGGGTGATACCCAAACTTTATCTTACTAGCATAAAAGAGGAAGGATCTAGTAAGATATTCCATGATAAGCACAAATAGAAGAGGTGAAATAGGATCACCTTGTCTCAATCCCTTGCCTCCCTTAAAGAACCCATAACTCTCACCTTCAAGTTGTATAGAGTAGGTTGTGGTAGTTACACAGAATCTAATCCAGTTGACAAATTTTGAGGAAAACTTTAATAAGTTAAGCAATTGTTCAATAGCTCTCCAGCTGACATTGTCGTAGGCTTTTTGTATATCTAGCTTCATCAGGCATCTCGGGGATATATTCTTTCTATTATATCCTCTAGCAAGCTCTTGGCATAATAGGACATTATGGACAAGCTCCCTCCCTTCAATGAATGCACTCTGATTTAGGCTGACAATATTAGGTAGAATCTGTTTCATTCTCCCACAAATGACCTTAGCAATAATCTTATAGAGGACATTGCAGCATGCTATAGGTCTAAGATCTGCGGGGCTCTTTGGGTCATCATTTTTGGGGATAACTACAAGGTTAGTGGCATTTATCTGCTTTATAGTATCCCCCTTATTAAAGAACTCTTGTATAGCAGAAGTCACAAGTCCTCCCACTTGTTTCCATTGATTCTTAAAAAAACCACTATTGTATCCATCACGCCCCGGGCTTTTACTATTCGGGATGCCAAACAAACTCTTCTTGATCTCTTCAGGGGTAACTGGGGAGATTAGTAGTAGTTGCTGATTAATGGAAAGACATGCCCCCATATTAACTATGTCCCCATTAATATCTTCAGTCCCCAGAGTAATACCCAACTGTTTTTGGTAGTAGTCCACAAGTACTCTAGCCACCTCCATTTTCCCTTCTACAACTGCCCCTTCTAGATTTGCAATAGATGTTAGGTGATTCTGAATTCTTCTTTTCTTTATC